ATTGCCATATATTCGTATCAGTGAGTATAGTAAATATAAAACTAAACGTACGGCGCGAAGGAACTTCGCAGTCGTAGAATACGCAGCATATTGCAGCTGGGCTAGGCAGGAAACACTGATTAGAATTCAGCTGGGGAAAACCATGAAAATGTTCATGCAGACAGCCCGTTTGCGAAATTTGAACCTCATACCTAACTACCAGTGTTCAGCGACTTTACCGCTCGGCAGCTCCTAAGGTTCTTTTGAAAATGAGTCAAGAAACGCCATATTTGCATTTTTTGGGAATATGCAGATTTTACCCGTTAAATAGCTACTTGCCTTATTTTTTAATTTATTAAACTCAGTTTTGCGTGTATGCATAATTTTTTGCACGAAAACCGTCTCCTAAAGGATCGTTTCGATATTTGTCTCGCATGCGGAGGAAATTCATTAACAATTCACATTTTGAAAGCAGTTTTTGTTTGAAAATCAATTTTGTTCCAGAAGTTCTTATATAAATTACATTTTATTCCGTTGGCACTCTTAGGAATAAATATAACATGGAAGAAAGAAAAATATTATTTATCTTTTCTAGAACATGAATTAATTAAAATTTACGAAATTGTTCAAACCACCATAAGTTCGTCAATATCCTAAACAACAACAAAAAAGAAATTAAAATACGAGAGAGCAAGAATCAATGCAATAAAAGGGGTCCCTTCCCAAGCCGTCTTATAACGTTCTGGTATACAGGGTATCTTGAAACTTATGGGCAAACATTTAAGGGGTGATAAAGATGCGCATTAAAAATGCCTTCACAAGTACAGGTGCATTCATCCGTGAATAACACATGTGCACTGAAATCAGGCTGCGCTGCTAAGCTATTGCAAAAACCAAAGTGCAAACTCGACACGTGGGGCATAATCTGCAGGTATCAAGGCTTGCACTTTGTATACATGGTAGGGGTGTTTCTTAATACGCGCCGAACAACGGAGTGGAGCTCATGTAAGGCAGCACGGGAATCCTCTGGCATGCTGATATCCGGACGATCTTCCACTCTTTTAAAGATTATGTTTATTTCAGCTATATGGCGAAGCGTTTTTATAGTTTGTGAAAATCAATTACCAGGGCATGGCACAATTCCAAAATAGGCGATAAAAGCAGGGCCTCTACCGTCCAGTTCTAATTTCCAACGTTCTTTGCAGAATATCCTCTACAACTTGTGGCGTCCGCACACTCTTGCCACACCCTGTATCATGCATGCCGATGACAAAGGATCTCATTCCAGGCACCAATGCAGTCGCACGCCCATTTTTCGGTCTGGCGCGTGTCTTCTCGGAAAACGTTGCCTGTATTTTCTTTCGGCTTCCAGAGCATTTACATTCGTACGAGCATACCTAAAATGCATGTTTAACGTTTTCTGATTTGTGTATGTCGACATGTCTTCTGAAATCCACGCTAGAAATGACGATGTATAGAAAACTCGCGCTTTATGCTTTCCATTACAGCGCCGTCTGGCGGTTCACCGCTTGCTGTCCGCCCATACGCCGCATGGTGAAAATTGCTTGTTTAGGTATTTTCTATCACCCCTTAAATTTTTGCCCATGAATTTCGAAACACCCTGTATTTCAGTGTTTTTCCGCGGACCGGAAAGGTTAGTAATTTTTACATATACAAAATTGTGGAACTTTAGGACAGCCGGAGGATAGTGTTTGCGGACTGGACACTGCTCTATACTTTCGGAGACACTTTCGACTATCTGTCGATAGTGTCTCCGAAAGTGTAGTGAAAGTAGTGTCTTTCGCGGGTAGTCGAAAGTGTATCTGTCAAAAGTATAGCTCTATGCTTTCGGAGAAACTAAGAGACAACTTTTTTGTGAGCGGCGGAGAAAAATCCCAAACACAGAATTAAGAATAACAAAGTCTCTCTGGTTTCGGTTTCAAATGGGAAAGTTTTATTGTATTTTTGAGATTTTTTTTCGTGTTTGTAACTCAAGCACATGCAAAGTCATGCAAAGTATTGCACTGCGAATGTTCAAGATACAATGGATTTAGATACTCAAAACTGCGAATGTTCAAAACTGGATCGTTTAATACAGACATGAAGAACTTTTTCTCATCTTAACAGAACTGAAATTTTCTTGATCTGAATGTGACGCCTTGAATAGCACAACAACCTTATTTCATGTTGTCTCATCCACTCTCTTTCTAATAATGGTTGGATAAGAGTTAGGAAATGCATTCCAAATCTTAAGGGACATTTTTTTTTCATTATTTCTTTTATTAACAGAAATTTTTAATTCGAATCTTGAGGTAAATAGAACAAATAATGGCGATTTCCTTGTCAGATATTGATTTCATTTTCGCAATTGTATTTTTTGGATAGCTCGAATTATTGGTATTGTGGAATATTTCTCTCGTGGCTACGAATTGTGCGTTTTTGAACAATATTTATTAATTGTAAAACTACTGTCTTTAAAGCGCAAAATTAGAATTGCTTTCTGAGTTCTACGTCGTCTGTGTACGTCATGGTGGAAAGGAGTGATTTTGTGTTTTTTCTATGCTTCACAACGAAAGGCGGGAATATCTAAAAGAGTAATTCATCTTATGATATATATATATATATATATAACATTTAAGGTACGCAGTGTCAATTGTGCTATTATCTGAATTTCCCTGAAACGAAACCTGATCGCTGTGTACATGGAGAGAAAAACAATAATGCATATAATGAACAATAATGCATGAAAAACTCCCAATACTACTTTGCAAAAGAGAATAATTCACTTTTAATACATAAAGATATAAATTTGTAATTCTATAATTTCCTATACGTAGCATTGATTTTCTACTCATTTTCAGCTTTGAATGCTAAAGGATTTTACTTGCTATTTTTGGCAACAAAAATATTAATTAATCTAAGAACTATAGTGGTAAAAATATTCCTCATATTACTTCAGCTTACGAATCATTATGCAAGATTAATTAGTTTGCAACTTTAAAAGCTTGAAGTTCACATATCTGCAATTTTCGTCATGCCATGATTTGCAGTTGCTTTAATTTGAACTTGATATTTTCAACGACAATGATTTAGACCACCATGTTTTTTCGTTGCTTTCTCTTCTCCTACGATGTTTTGTACGACGATGTTTTCGCCTGTCGTTTTCTCCGCTACGTTTTGATTCGCGCTATTTTCGCCTGCAGTCGATGAAGATGGTATTTTATGATTCAGAAAAAAAGATTTTTTTTATAAAGATGATATAAAGGATCTTTGGCATCCAGCAATTTTGCATTAACATAACCATCCTTTTGTTTTCAGTCTGATTTTTAATACACGCTTAAACTCATCTCATACTAGTACTCAGTTGATGAGAACAAATTTTAGAGATTATTATTGGATTTTAGGTAGCTGTCATATCATACGAGCTGTTCTTAAATAATGTTTGAGGTAAACACAATACAAAGCAAAAAATAAGGAGCCTTATTAATTGACTTACTTGAAGATCGTGTAAGTAAGACCAAGGTTTTTGGAGTACTTTGCTGGTCATTTTTACCTAAAATACCACTTTAAAATTCGTAAAATCCAAAGACCGATCAGTATTAACTAACCAGCATCTCGAAAGAATTACTGAGAAATGCTGTCACCAAATTTTTAAAACTTATCAAGAGAAATAAAATAAATGTGTTTAATTTTTAATATTTAAATTCAATACACATATTTTGTACTTTTATTTATATGTTGTCAATAAACATAATTTCTGTAAAAAAAGTTTTTAATACATTTTTTGCATACCTTTTAAATAGGTATTTAATTGCGGCTCGCGAAATCGCAAATGCGTATCTGGCGACAAACTGCCAGGCTTTACTGAAAACGTTCCATAGGTGCTGGATTCTATTAAAGCAAAGCATGCGAACCAATACATTCAGCAAGTATTTTTACTTTTCAACAGCTCAGACATAAGAAAGGCTTGTAAGAAGAGGTGAAGCGTTGTCGTCTATGAAGAGAATTCCAAGGCTTACAACAATCAGGGTCTGAAAAAGACTTATTCAAGAAAGAAAATGTCTATACGATAGCGGCCACCAGTGATTGAACTCCCTGAAGACGTGGACATACGTCTTAAACAAGATATCTTTATACGAAGCATATTATGCCTCACCAAATGAAACCATGGATGACTGTGTTCTTCTCTCTCTCTAAATGCACCGATATCGGCGTCCATTAGAATGTTGCATGAGAACTATGGTTTTACTTGTTGCGTGTCGTTGGTTTATACTCATGCGTAGGACAAGATACAGATCATCTAACGCTGAGTTTACTTACGTCAAGGACTGAACTATTCGATATTTCTGTCGTTCGAAATGCTGTACTAGCTCATGACACATTTTTGAGAGCAATCTCGAAATCTTCATCCGTACACATCCGCACTCTAATCTACCACCTTTCCATTGATTTAATCTTAAGGAAAAGAAAACTGTCAACAAAACTACCTTATGAACGTATGGTACATGACAGTAGCTCAATGTCCTCAAACCGATGTGCAATTTTTTCCATTGAAATGCTGAATTTATTTCTGTGTAGTACTTTATATCCTTTTAACCGGCCCACAGTACCCCAAGTTGCATACAAATACACACCCGAACCTTACATAAATTTAGTAATAACTAATTTTAGACTTCTAATTTGTCTTCTGATAAACTCTGCTTGCTCATTCGGTATTATATTAATTTTCCCACTTCGTCTTTAATTTTTCGCAGACCATTGATAATATCAAATATGCATCTTTTTTATACATTCAAAATTTTGTTCACATATGAATTTCTTCTTAATCTTCAATCCTCTAATACCTAGCCTTATCTCCTAAAAAGCATTTAAATTTCATCTAACATGGATTTCCCGAAGCTTCTTATATTAATTCTGGAAGAGCATTCTAATTTTTCAAAATTTATTACATAAACATAGATTTAATTATCTACACATTGATAGGAAATGTTTGCTTGTATTAATAAAGATATATTATTTACCTATCCACTGAAATTGACACTAAAGTGTTGACTGAAGCGCAGACAGACACTCCTTGAAGATACGCCACGGCTTTGCATAAGAACAAACCGAGGATCCAAGCTATACAGAAAAATCACTTATGTTTCACATCAACTTGAGAGATGCAACTGAATTACCAGTGTTAAGTTTATTATGTACACATTTTATTTGTGAGAAGAAAAACATAATTCTAAAATATCACTTATTTTTACAAGTATATTTTTCAAAATAATAAAATGTTAACTACAATATATATTTTATCTATATATTATCTATTTTATCTATATATATATATAATAATCTATATATTAAATCCAATGTATTTTATTGCTAATATGCATTTAGATATCAATGGCATACATGTACACAGTGATTCGCTAAAGCATGTACAAACTTCTTGAATATGCAAGTTACTTAGATGAATTAGGAATAGATAGTAGTGCTGGGTCAGATACGCAATCGAGAGAAATGAAAGGGAACTAGTAAAACGTCCGAACAGCAAAAAACTCATTCCAAAACTATCTGCAGATGCAGTATGATGGAATGTGTCACATTAACCTAAGCTCCTGTACCGAAAGTGTTAAATGATGAGGCGTATTCTGAACTACCAGATTTTGCACGGCTACATCAAAGATTATATGGAATGAGCTTTTATGACAGATGTGCCATTAATTGGGGAAGAAAGGCAAACCTTCTTGAAGTCGAAGAGTTGGTGCTTCGTTATACAGAAGACAATCCAAGCGTTAGCATAACAGCAATCGTTACTCACTTCTGTCTTCCTCAAATTACTCTCAGGAATATGATGCTTGCATTATTGATGTAGTATGGATCAATTGCATTTGAAACAGTATGTGGCGTTCTCCTTCTTCCCTACTTCCGTCTTATTCTAGATAAGGCATACATCACCAGAGAAGGTTTTTCATAATTAACACCGGTTTCATGTTAGCGTTTAATACAGCATTATGGGGGGATCACTTAATAAGCACATATCTTGCCTCGTCTCCAGCATAAAAAATATAATGACTGTACAGTAATACCAAGCCATTTGATTTCTGACTTTCAAAAGACAATAATGCATCAGATATGTTTGTCTCATCCATTGGCCTGCACGACCGCTGTACTTATCCTTCTTGGATACCTTCTTCTGAGATCACATGAAAGGTCTGGTGTACGACGCACTCGGTAACAGTGAAGAGGATCATGCCACAGGTATCTGCGAAGCTGTGTGCGTCTGAGAAAGGCTGTGAATATTTCAAAACATCCCTGATTAAATGCGACGCCTATGTCAGATTTATGTTACAGTTGGAGCATTAATACTTGATCCCGATCCTCAGATGAATAAGGTTTTCAGTGACTTAATCCTCTCTGAAGTTTTTGCACGCAGAAGCTAATCACTTTATATATGTGACGAACCATGTGGTTAATTAGAACATGATGATGGGACTGATATGTAAAAACGTAGCTGTAATCATGGCTAGCTAATAAAGTTCTTTATTTTAGGCATCATTCGGGAAATAAAATACAATAAAACATTAATACAAGCAGAGGTTTCACATACTGACTAATTATACTGACCAGATAGTGTAGAACACGGAATTACTTATTACCTGCTACAAAGGTTACTTTTCTTACACTTCCGGAAAGAAAAACAAAATATGTTGATAAAAAAAACACAAGATTTAATGAAATATTGAGTAAACGTGTTTTCCCTGAAATAAAGAAGAGCAGTTTTAATACGTAACATATTTTCCTCTTGCTTGAATATATAATTGCCTCTCCGCTCTTCAGTCATGTCTGAAGATAACACATTAAAGTTATATTACACAACACATTAGAGCTTATTCGTTAAAACGCTGCAGTTCATTTAAGCATGTTGGAAGGAGACATAAAGCAGCTACCGCTTAATCCTTATATTCTAAATTGGATTGAGATTTGGTGATCAGTTTGCCTTTCAATTCAATGTTGAATACACGTTTCTTAAAGATATTGGGTGATTACATGCAATATGAAAACGGGTATTACCGTCCATTGAAAAAGGGTTATGACCAACTGCGGCCACATTAGATCTTACCTAATGATTGAGGATGCCATTCCTACATGTTTGAGCAGCAGGAAATCCACAGGAAACAAATATAGGCCAGTGTGATTGAATAACTGATGCGTGCCCGAACGAGGATATTTCCATCTCTATAGGCATATCATATTCAACAACGTTCGACTAGCTCCATGCCCTCTCCAGACGACACGTCCAACAGTTTTCGACTATCTCGCTGCATTTTATTCCTCACTTTTGTTCAGATTGCACTGTAGGTAACACCTGGAGACAAATCTGTGAAGGATACTGAGACTTGACAAGCTCTTGTTACTCTGCCCTATGTGAAAGAGTGAATGGAATACAGACAGTGTGTCTTTTGGTACATTATCTTATCCATATGCAATCTCCTCCTCACACCAGACACAGATATTCTTCTTTTGTGTTTACAGAATCATCTGCAACAAACTGAGACACCGCCGTTCTTTGTTGTTTACTAACTGAATGAGTCAGGAAACGGTTCTCAAGAGTTATCACCGGTGGTGTACCTCAAATGTTTCATCTCGAAAATGTGCATTTGCCAAAAATATGCTTCTGTAGTTCATCAACGACAGTAGGACTGACATTTAGCTGCCACATCGCTTGAGCCTGTGACAAGGCCATTTCTATTCTGTCAGCTGTTCTTCAATGTAGAGAATCACGTGACATCCTTTACATCCTTATCTAAAATCATAGGGACTATATAGGAACATAAATGGGAACTTTCTTTATGCCTGTAACGCATTTCTGTTAATTACTGTAAATATATAAACTTATGAATATAAGATGAAATGTAAGTAAATAAAAATTTTAATTTTAATTTGCAATATTCCTTAAACTCTTTATTTTTGGGGATTATATTGTCTTTCCATCCTGAAATAGTAAACGCTGAGGATAAGTCTTTCTGAAATACATCACATCGAATTCCTCGCGTGGTTCTTATATAATGTTCTTATATAATATTCCTCGCGTGGTTCTTATATAATGTTCTTGACGCAGATACTTACATAACGCTCCTATTAATAACAGTTTCAGCGTCGGGAACTGAAACCTAATAGTAGACAAGGCAGATATCGGTAACTAAATCTTTCTACATCACCTATTCGTCTTATATATATATGTCGCCTTCTCTATCTCGCTTCCCTCCTGTTAACTTGCTTGCTTTCTGCTACTGCGTTTTTTTTTACTCAGTCAAAATTAATTGTTATAACAGTGAAGAACGATTAGTGTTATATAATTCGAGTTAAAAATGAGCTACTCAGTAAATGAAAAAAATGTGTTAACTTGCCCATGAATGCAACTACCGCTAATGCATCAACATATGTTTTTAGCATGGAAGTTATTTCATGTATATGTTACCATGAAAGACCAAAATACGAGAATGTCAATAAATATGAAACACGCCCTTAAAAGATCGAATATTTGTTCATATTCTTACACATTTGGACCATAACCAGTGTAAGTTAACAAGCATACATATACTCGTGTGGAGGCCAAAAGGAGAAGACAGGCAGAAAAGCATCGTAAAAGCAAGGTTTGGTTTGGTTTAGTTTATTATGGTTCAGGTTCCTTATCAGGTTCTCTATCTAAAGTAAACTGGCTCGTATACGCGTTACGCATAGGGTAAACCACGAAAACGCTCATGCAGCCAGCCCTTTCGCCTGGATTCGAAGCCAGGTAACAGCAAGGGACTCTTTTGCAATTCAAAGTATCATTACAGTTTAAGTTGTTACAATAAAAGAAGTTGTATAATGTCAATCCCATAATTAAGTAAGTTTATTATTGGTGTTATTTTCTTCTCTCATTTATTGTTCGCTTGTACTCAGTTCAACAGTTAATTTACATGTTCCCTTATTTTACCTTTCTTCTATTTTGACATATATCAAAACGTGTTAATAGAAAATATGATTCAAAAACGTAAAACAAAAAAAAAATTATTCAAAATTTCACCATCAGTGTCTGGTTAATGTCGACATTTGCTGGTGAAAGTGAGAAATACGGATACACCAAGCGACAATGTGATTATTGACTTTCACCGGAGAATGTCGACATACTGCAGATTTCGGTGGTCTTTCACGGTAACATATGTATATATGTGTGTGTATGTGCATTTAATTACCACCATACATTTTAGAGATAAAAAATAAATAATAATATACAGATGTAAAAATTGCCTTTATTAATAAAATCATTATTATTTATTTACTTGTATAAAGATAATAATCAGTTATAAAGTAAAGGAATAACTAATAAATAACTAGAAGAATTATAATTATATATACTTACATTCCGTAAATTTCTTTCTCAGATATAATAATAGTGAGCAATATTGAATGAAACATAAAAATACCTTCTTGCAGTTTTAAACATCAGATTATGTCTTTGTAGTTCAATATACATAATGTCTAATTTTTTAGTATGAGCTCTCAAATTACGAATTATATTTAAAGAATAATGTCCTGTCAATAAGAATTATATGGTAAAAATCAGTTGCCTGGAATATTGATTTAGTATAAATAAACCCGAGACGGGGAAAGAAAAAGGGACACTAATAAAATATTAAATTTAATTAATAATAGATAATCATTAGAGCCGCTAGTCTGATATCTTAGAAGAGAACACTATGCTTGCGTTTTCTTAAGGACTTTAGAACTTCAAGTTTTTAATTGTAAATTATAGCTGAAACAATCTAATAAATCAAAGATACTCCATCCCATAACGTAAAATCACTGCTCCTGAATTAATATTAAATCATGAGTAACAGAGTAGGTTGTACAATTATCAGTAGTCTTCGGCTTTATCTAACTCGCCCCAGCAGCTTGCAGTATTAAAAGACTTAAGAGATAGGCTATACTGAGTAGATAAAGATCTCTACTGGGATAGATTACCAGCGATTCAACACGCAAGCCGCGTCAGGTTATTGTTCTTTTCGCATGCGAACTAAATATACTTAGAACATCCTCCATATTCACATAGCTCTGGTGCCTTTCCCACAGTTTAATATGCGTTT